GTTTTGCCAAAGAAACTCAACATGCAAACATGGCCCATTTTTGAAGGCAACAAGCGGGATTACCCTAGGGGTGCAAGTGTGAATTGTGTATTGATTGTCATGCATTTGTCTTTGTATTAGGTTATCTAGCGGTTGATTTTGAATCTTCGCATACAAACCCTAATTACTATACAGTATATAGAAAGCGATAAATTGCGGGAATTTAAAGTCTAAGCTATTACAAATAAGTATTCGGGAATGGGGGTACAAATATTTACAAATGGGGATGAGTCTTATCAGGATAGTAGTGTCCAAATAATATTTACAACCAAATCGAATCGCACTCTCAATATAAAGTGTAGCAATGTATAAGAATAAAAGCAATGTATCAAAAGCATTTGTGAAAGTGTATGTGATTATTTACAAGTGATAAAAAATGTTAACCTAATATATTATTAAGTATTTTATTTATCTTTGGGTTTTTGTTAATTATGTGTAAACAAATGTTTTAGTGAAAAGAAAAGGAAAATGTTTTAATTTTAGAGAGAACTAACATTTATACATTTTAGTTAATGCTATATAAACAAAAGGGTTTTAAAGAAAAAGTATTTAACTCAAAACAAACTAATTATTTATGTATCTTTTAATGTTTTATATACAAGAAAATTATTTAAACCTAATAACCTATATTTATGTATTTTAAATTGTAATAAAAAGTGTTAGTAATATTTTTACATGAAAAAAACTTAACATATTACTTAACAACAAAAAAAGGAATTAGGTTATAAAAATTTAAAAAGTGCTTATTTAAAAAATATAAAAAGCTATATGGGCCTTAGAAGAGGTTCTTGGCCCAGGAAAATAAAATAACCAAAACAAAAAAGGGTAAGAAAAAGGAAGGGGGGTGTAAGGCGCCAGAAGGTTGGGCCTATGGTTTCTGTTGGGGACAGGCCCAAAACGCGTGCGTTTGGCAATTTGTTCTAGGGTTTGTTTTGCTTTGTCCAGAACGAGGGTTTACAGCGTTGGAGCGGCGCTCTCATCTTCTTCTTCTTCGTCGTTCTCTTCATCTGTCTTGAGCCAAGCCTCTGAACGAACCACTCGCCTCAGCCGCCGGACGCAACCTCCGTCCTCCTCTTCTTCACGGTCATTCAGGCAATGATGAAAAAAGGTAGTAATTTCGGTCTTAACGCATTTTTAGGGTTTTTTCGTTCTTATCTTGCATATCTTGTCTTTTTCATGTCCTGACCTTTGATATTCGTGTGGTGTGAGGTGCGAAGCAGAAAAAGGAAAGGGAAAAATACTACCTTTGTGGGCTTTTGGAGAAGAGGCGGAGAAACGGACAGGAGGCGTCCCCGGTGGCCAAGGCGAGGGAGTATGATGCTAGCTTACTGACTCCCTGGTATTTGTATCTTGCTTTTGTTAGATAGTTTTATGATGATTATTGCTTCTCTAAAAACCCTAAGGCTCCTTCTTCTGAAACTCCTTTCCTATCTGAACGCTTGCTTCTGATTGCTTATACTTCTGGCTTTTTTACTCGATGATGAACTCATTTCTGAGAGTTTGGATTGGTTTGTTGCTTCTGAGTTTGATGATGATAACTCTGAAATTTTCTTTTCCTCTCTCTTTTGGCTTTGATTCTGAGTTGGATTTTTATCAATGATGATGATAATGTTGAATCTGAGATGCTTTTGATATGCTTATTTGTTTGATCCTGTGATGAACGTGATTCTGAGGACGCTTGGGATTTGTTTGATATTTGGACTTTTGGATTTTGGACAAAGATTTGTTTTTGACAGGGCTAGAGGCAGGCTTGCAAGTTACAGGCTTGAGACAGTTTGGAATTTTGTTTGAGATTTATGCAGGTTAAGGCTTGAGGCAAGCTGTTTACAGGCTTTAAGGCTTGTATTTGGTTTTTTTAGCAGGTTGAAACAGTTTGAAGCTTTTGAAAATGTACAGGCTTTAAGGCTTGTATCAGTTTGTAAGTTTGGAGCTTATGGTTCTGTGCTTGAAACAGGTTTGGCTTTGGCTTGAAGCAAGCTTTGTGTAGTTTGACAGTTTTCTTTTAGGCTTGTGGGCTTGAGACAGGCTGGAGACAGTTTGGAATTTTGTTTGAGATTTATGCAGGTTAAGGCTTGAGGTTTGCTGCAAGGCTTAAGGCTTGCTTTTGTGTGCTTGCTTCTGTAACAGGTTTGAGAACTTGGGGCAGGTTGTTTGTTTACTTGCTCAAGATACAAGCTTGGAAGGTTGTGTTATGTTTTTCTCTATGTGTTTTCTGCCTTCTTCTAACTGTTCTGGTATATCTTTGTTTTATATCTCTAGCCTGCCTGAAAAAACTGTAAGCCTCTTCCTCTTTTCTCTCTTTCTCTCTCCACAGATAAAAAGCATATTATATTGCTTAAAACTGTACTTTTCTGAAAAAGTGATGGCCTGGAAAATGATGACAATTTTTGAATATGTTGCTTGCATTGTTAGTTTTGCTCTGTATATCTTCTTTCTTCAGATTTTCTGCATTTGGTGTACTTGTTGACAGCTTTATGACAGTTCTTGAACTTGTGACTTAGTTGGCCATTTTGACTTAGTTTTGCTTTGTCTGATAGTGCAATTCAGTTTAGTTGACAACTTTGCTTGTTTGTTCAATTCGAACTTTGCAACTTGTTGGTTTCAGCTTGACTTTGCAACTTGTTTTGGCATATTCAGTAGCTTGCCCCTTTTCATGTAGCTTTGTGCATTTGGTTCAATTATGCAGCCTTGTACATTTTTATATGCTTGCAACATTATTTTCTTTCCCTCTTTGTGAACCAAGAGTTTTCTTGCGATTTTCAGAGAGGGCGAACAAACTGATTCTGGCCAATCACTTTTAATGATGAGCTTTTTATGATTAACTGTCTGAGAATGTTCTTAATTTATCTGTACTGACTTCTTTTTTTTTATTTTTGCAGATAAAAAATCAGTTGAGCAATGGGGAGCAGCAGTAGAAGATGAAGATTTAGGAGATTTAGGATATAGTTTTAAATTACCTTTAATCATTGTGAGAATATTAATGTAATCATCTGTAAATAAATTTACAGTGTTCAAATAATAATTGTAACAAACAATTAAAGATGAATAAAAATCCTTCTTTGTCAAATATTTCTTTAATTCTTCTGCATTCATTTATTTAATTACTTTAATTTCTTGAATTATAATAATTGGAAATTATCCAATAATTTTAACTTAGAAATTATAAATAATCAATAAACGTCCGACGTTCCGAATAACCAAAAAACATCGCACAGTTAAACAAGCAACGTCCATATGTCCTTTATTTCACTGATTAGACCAAACACTTCAAACTCTCAATCAGAAGCCTCAGCCCATATCTCAGATGTTTAGACCTTGAGAAACAAACAGAAATCTTGAGCAAACGTCAAAGCAGTGTAACAGCCAATTAATAAACTGTGGATTCAAATCCTTCTGAAACTGCGCGTGCAAACCCTAATTCTTGATTTAATGTCAAAGAAGCGTCTGCTTGATCAAACCCTGAGCGAAACTCAAACAAACCCTAACAACCTGCTTGAACTGATTCAAAAGTTAATGGAAACCTTAATTTTGTCCGACTGATAAGAAAAGTTTGTTTGACTGATTCTTAAGCCAATCTAAAAAATCAGGAAAAGTCCGAAGCTGTGTTTTCTTGTGAAAAAGAGAGGGCAAATTTTGGGGTACAACAGATGTTATGCTAAAATTTATTGCATTCAAGAGTGTGGTTTTCTTTTGTAATATCCTTGTAAAAAGACATAAAGGTTGCAAGTTATATCTAGAAAAAAATTAGGTGAATGTTTTTTAGTAAATCATGTGTAAAGTTCTCATTGTTGTTAGAAAATTTGTGGGTTGATCATGTGTAAAAGTTCAAGTTGTAATTGGAGGTTGTTTAGGCTGATCTTGTAAAATTTGAAGGTTCTTTTTAATTGAAATCTCAAGAGAAAACTCTTGAAAAGAGTAAATCAAGTGGTTAGACCGAACTTATATAAATTTATTTGATGTACTCTTACTATTTCTTATCGCCTTTACTTTTATTATTTTATTTTCTTCTTGTTGCGTTTCTCTCTTCTTTCTATTATTTGATCGTTATTTCTCCATTTGTTTGTTTATACTAACATAAATGTTTTCAAAATCATAGATTTTATAAATCATTTTTGAATATCACAATCCATCGTCCACTTGTATTTGAAGTTATTTGGTCAATAATTCTAACTTTCTTTCATATATAAAAAGCTCTGCATGCACTAAGATTTAAATATTTTACTCATTCTCACACTCAAATTAGTTTTTAATTATTTATTAAATTATGATAGTGAAGTACTAACTTTGTAAGTCTACCCTACTACACTGCTTTATAATCACATTCTACCACACCTCAATTTTATTTCACTTTGTTATCAACTATTTGTTGTTTATGAAATGAACAATAATATTAGAAGATATATTTTGAAAGAAGTTTTCTCAATTGACACTTAAAAGTAATATTATTTATGATGGACTTTAATTGTTATAGAATAGTTTGTAATAACACGAATAAAATATTTTGAATTAATCCAATTATTTGCCAAACTCTATTCATCTCTGGATAAAAAAAACAGCAATGATATGCTGTTTCGTATTTTATGGGCCACTTAATATTCATAGAAAAACAAATCATAGTTTAATATAACTGACCAATAGAATTTTCTAATCATTCATTGTCCCGGTAATATCCATAACCCATTCACCGTTCTGCTTGTGTTTGACATATACCAGGACTGAAGACAACTTGATTAGATTTAAAGTATATTGTTAATATGGAACCATTTGAGTTGGTTTTTATTTAAATATATTATTACAACATAATATTAGCAAGTCACAAATTTGACGTAGACGGTTTTGCCAATACCAATTGCGCTATATGGCATCAATCCTAAGTATAAAATAAACACATTTCGTATCCAATTCTCTCATCATATCCCAAACTACAAACACTCTCCCCCAAAAAATAAACACTCAAGACAATGAGAACTAAGTTGTTTCTCCTATTCGTATTGATTTCCCAAGTTCACCCACAAGACAAAACAACCCTTCTCCAAATAAAAAAAGAACTAAACAATCCAACCATTCTCTCCTCATGGAAACCAAACACTGATTGCTGCAAAACAAGTTGGTATGGTGTCACTTGTTTTCGCTCTAACAATCGCGTCCGTGACTTAACTATTTCATCCGACAACAACCTTACCTCGAATTTTCCAATATCCATCGGTAACTTACCTTATTTAGAGTCTATATATTTTGATAATTTACCAAATCTCATAGGTCAAATCCCTATTGACTCTATATCCAAGCTTCACAACCTCAAAACCCTAACAATAACCTCAACCGGAATGTCAGGCCCAATACCTAACTTCCCACCCCATATGAAAAACCTCTTTAACCTTGATCTCTCATCCAATCATTTCTCAGGTGCACTCCCTCGTTACATCCACAAATTACCAAAACTCGAAATGATATACTTTTACAACAACACATTAACAGGTTCAATCCCTTCTTCCTACGGCTACTTCAATAACAAAAACCTACCCTCTTTACTTCTCTCTCATAACAACCTTTCTGGCAAACTCCCACTTTCATTAGCGAGACTTAACACCACTGTTATTGAGTTATCCTATAATAAATTTGAAGGTGATGCTTCCATGCTTTTTGGCTCTAATAAAGCGACAAGGGAGATATATCTTTCACAAAACATGTTTAAGTTTGATCTTGGAAAAGTTGAGTTGTCTAAGACCATGACAACGTTGGATGTGAGCCATAACCAAATCTATGGGAAGCTTCCTATGGGAATAGAAAATATATCGTGGTTGAATGTTAGCTATAATAGGTTATGTGGCAAGATTCCAAAGGGTGGCAATATGAATAAGTTTGGTGTTAGTTCGTTTTTACATAACATGTGTCTATGTGGGTATCCTCTTCCAAGGTGCAAGTAATTATTATTTGGTGTTTTATCCTATAAAGGCATGAAGTGACACTACTTAAATCAATAATATTAAATGTATAAGAGTGGATTGCATTTCTTTTTAATGTAAGTTTGGTTTTTTTATATATGTATTTTACATTATTTCTTTTTTTGAATATGTATTTTTTTAGTTTTGTTTGTTTGATTGTTAATTTTATAGTATTTAAATTAGAAGAAATATATTGAACAAAAATAGTAAAATAAGATTTAGGGATATTGAGATTTTTCTACATTCATTGGTCATTTGGATTTAAATAAGTTTTGAAAAACTCTATTTGAGCATATCTAATGTAAAATTTTAAAAAATTTAAATCAATTTATACTTTTAAATAGATTCATGTGTGTGGATTAGAGTTGTTCATACATTTAAGCGAATCAAGTTAAAATAAATAAAAATAAAAATTTTAAAAAGAAATTATTTTTGTTGTCTCAAAATCGAATTGAATTAATTAATAGTTCGATGCTTTGGTTCTAAATTTCAAACTAAATTATTAATAAATATTTTTTTGAACTGAACTATTATATTTAATTTTACCATTTTTTTTGTTTATAAATATTTTTTTAATATATTTGTAAGCTAGCTTTTATGTAATGTAATGTATGGGTGTTTGAATTTTAACTAATCCAAGCTAAAATTACAAACCGATCAAAATAGTAAAATCCGTATAAAATTAAATATTAGTTGAAATACTACCGTTCCGATCGAAAAAATTGGAAAAATAATCTAGAATTAAATATTAAAAAATGGTTTAATTTGGTTTAGTTTGATTTTTTGGTTGAATAGTACCGTGAACAATCCTACATTACAATGGTTTGGTTAAATAATTGTGGTTTAGTTTGGTATGTTTAGAAAAAACTGATTTGTTCGTTAACTAAAAGGAATGATTCAATTATTTAACAAAAGTTTATTAGGCCAAACCTACGTTCGGACCTCTACCATTTCCTACTAGGCTTGGACAAGAAATGGATCACGGCTTTCAACAACGGCATGTGAACCTTTGTATGCAGGGAGCCAATTCTTGAGATTAGTTAAAAATATAGATGTTAATATTTTTTAAGGTGAAGACAATGAAAGTTAATGTATTACTTTTAATTAAAGTGGAAATTGTTGGGATTAATTGAAAATATACATGTTGAAGAAATCTCACATTGCTTTGTTTTGTGAAGAAAGAGTGAATCCAAGGCTATATATAAGATTCAAGTTCTTTGCTATATATATGATTTAAGTTCTTCGTTACAAGATGTACGAGTCAAAAACATTTTAAGCTTGTATTTGACATTCTTTGTTCTCTTACACTCTTGTATTAGAGTGTTGTGAGATGTAGTTAAATATTTCTTTTGGAGGGTGTGAGTATACTGGGGGTCTAGGGTAGTTGAGGGTAGTTTATGTGTTGTAACAATTTTTACATAGTGTTATTCTCTGGTTGTCATTTGACAATGGCTGTAGATTTTTCTCCCGTTTTGGAGTTTCCACATTTTCTTCTTGTGTTGTTATTATATTACTCTTTTTTCTCTATGCTTTTTTCCCCAACACCAATGACCGCTTGAACAATGTTTATCCTATGGCGTAACAGCAGAAATCTCAAGTCAGACATAACAAAGATATTATTTCGAATTGAAGAAATCTTACACCATGCCAATTCAAAGAACAACTTTGTACAATATACGGCTTTGCATAGTGTTATACCCCAAAATATTTCCTCTCATTTTTCCACAAACATTCTTCTAAGGGTCTCAAATATTCAAGGTTTCTCAAGGGTTGACCAGTCAAACCTCCTCCTAAAGCAATTGGTCTACAACTAGGATTTTGAGTTTCTCAAGGAAGATTGGATTTCAAAAGTCTCGAGTGATTTCCATGGTTATTCATATGTCTTCAAGGATGCTCATATCAAGTTTCAAGTCTTGCATCACAAGTTTACTCAGTCAATGGCTCAGATGATTCAAAACCAATTGTTTGGGTAAAAAGTCAACTATGGTCAACATGCAATCAAACTTCAAGATTTTTGGTCAAACATCAACATTTTGAAGTGATATTTATCATTTGATCAAGGATTGATAATGATTCCTCAAGAGAAGCCCTCAAATCATCAAAAGTCAAAAGTTGCCAAATTAGGGTTTTCTTAGGAGAAGTCAACTGAACTTTGACCAAGCGTAACTTTCACATGCTTCATCAACTTTTCCCCAACCAAAGCCCATTTTGAATGAAATTCAATTCTCTATAAATTTGAATTTGTATGCTCAAGTCTAAAAAATATTTCATTTGAAAGATATGATCTCATACATTATAGGTCATTTCAAAGTCAACAAAAAGACATTTTTTGTCAAGGCAACTTACATCAAGATAAAGTCTCCAAATACAAAAATGATAAAAAGAGGGATTGTAGAGGACATCTTGATATTTCCAAAAAGTCAAATGTTACCTTCAAAAATATAAAATTGATAGAGTTATGACCAGTGCAAGTTGGGAAATTTTGAGAAAATGCATGAAGTGCAAAGTGAGCAAACTTGAAATTTTGAACTAGTGGACCTAACATTTGATGTTCAAACATGGTTCCAATGTGTTAGAGGACCTCTAAATCCATGCACATATTTTTCATGATTTTTATTTCTTTTGTTTGAATTTTTATTAATTTAAATGCAATTAAATCAAATGAAATACAAAATCGTTGGGCCAAGGCGCGTGAGCTCTGAATTTCAATCACATGGAGGCCCAAGAACACATGAAGAATATGCCAAAACCGTGTGAACTTGAATATGGCAAGAAAAATCTCAAATTGGAAGATTTTAAATATGTTGGATTCTTGTCTAAGTATGACCTTAATTGCATGAGATTCTTGTCATGTTTGCTGATCCATTTCCTTCTCTATATATACACAAATTATCCAAACTTTTCAAAAAAAAACCTCGAGCTTGAAAAATCTCTCTAAAAGCTCTCTCATTCCAAAAATTCGGATACCATTCATTTCCTAGAACATTGAAAGGTGAGTTTGGACCAGTTGCCATGATCCAAAACGTATGAGAATGACATACCATGCATCTCCGGTCATATAAGGTTGTGAAATCCATATCTTAGTTTCAAATTGTTTTAAATATTGTTGTTATTACTAATGTGTTCCTGAGTTTCCTCTGAACAGGTTTTGATCACTAGTATGGTCCCATGCAGTCAAAATGGTATTACACCATGCTTGCTTCGATCTGTGTTATTTACACAATAGTGGCCAAATCATGGATTTTTAGCCTTCAAAAATATTGTCATTGGATTCGTAGCCCTCGATTTAGGGGGTAGGGTACAATGCATTATTTTGGGCCTAACGAATTTGTTTCTCACACCCCCCCCCCCCCCCAACTTGCTTCTTTTGGCCTATCTCCTCATTCTTTTTATTATTTCTTTTTTATTTCTTTTTAATAATTAACTTTTATTAATTAATTAATTAAAATTAATTTAAATTTAGGTTAAATCAATTTGACTTTTTTTAATTAATTTAATTGAATCAAATTTATTATTTCTTAAATAAATTAATTGAATTAATTAAATTGATTTCTTTAGGTTTTATCATTATATCATATTTTTTTATTTAAAATAAATTAGGGTTTTTTAGGATTAAATTAACTTCTTTTTCTCAATTTAAAATCAATTAATTATCAATTATCTTCGATCAATTAAACTCCCCATTTCTTCTTGCAATCTTCGCGCTTTTCTTATTTTCGCATTAATTTTTAATAATCATGTAACTGATAAAGGTTGTAATAGCTTAAACTAGGGTTTACTGTTTCTTCCCCTCATTTTATGGTTTGTATCCCCTCCCCGAAGCTTTGTAATAGTGTAGGAAATTTATTTTCTGTCTTTACCGCTTTCCTTATAACTCTGTTAGATGTATGCTAATAGGCTTGAATAGAAAGACTAAAAACAAATGATAGCTAACCCTAATCAAAGATTTAAATCAACTAAAATCAAAGCACTTTTCACACACGCACCTCTAGGGTGACTCCACTTGTTGCCTTCGGAAAATACAATCACGTCCCTCGAATATAGGGATATCACTAGCAAAGACCCTCGATTAAAAATCATCATAAAGATCATAGTCCCTTGATAACCCTTCGATGCTGCCCTCGGTAAATGATCTTGTCCCACGATGTTGCCTACGAATACATGATGATAGTCCCTTCGAATTTCTAAAGGTATCTGTAATACAGTGGGAGAACTGACTTGGGTGTTTTGTATTTGATCATAATTGTTGCGGATAGCAAGAGTCGCCACCGACTTTTCCTTTATCCAATAGAGGAAAGGGTGAAAAGAACAGGAAAGACCTTTGAGATTATTTTCCTGAGTTCGGGGGGTAGATTATGAAAAGGGAAGGTGTTAGCACCCTTTTGATTCATAGTTATCTATGGGCTCTTATTTGCTTGCTAGATCATTGCTTTTGTTTGAAATTGTGCTTTGGAATGGGTTTTGAAAGTATTTTGAAAAAGTGCCTTTGTTATAGGAAAACTTTGTAATGATTCTCGTCTCTATAAGAATGTATACAAAGTGTTGGACATTTTGAAAATATTTCATGTTTTAAAAGTGTTTGGTGTTTTTAAAAAGGTGATTGTGTTTGAAGATGAGCAAGCAACTAAGAACGTTTCTACCTACTCAAAAGTATTTGTTCTTTTCCTCCTCCTTTAGATGTTTCTATCTTACCATTGATTGGTAAGAAGCCTTATCTTTGGATGTAAAGAGACGGGCGTGGGTCATCGTGTAGTCATGATAGCAATGTTGTAAGATATCTTAGCATTTATCTTGAGGGACTAAGATCATTTGTAAGGCAACATTCGAAGCATCATCGAGGGACTATGATCTTGTATTTTTTTTATTGTTTTTGCTAAGACGCCTCACATGCATAACATGACTATTTTTCATAAGGCAACAAGTGGAGTTAGCCCTAGAAGTGCAAGTGTGCAAGAGTTTGTATTTCATGCTTGATTTATCTG